TCAGTAATAGAAAAATATCAAATGGCGCGCAAGGAAATATTTGGTCTTTATAATTAAAAGCAGTAAAGTGTATACTGTACTATCAGTTTGAGGGAAAAAAAAACAAACCCAAAATGCCTCTTTTGATGTGCTGTCTACTTTAGAAATATACACTTACCTCTGTGCATAAAAGCTTTTATGCCAAACTGCTTGTTGACATATATAACACTCTCCTCAAGATGTGTTTCTGCTTTTATTTCACCTTTAACTTTTGCGGCAGTTTGATGATAATGAACAGAATGGAAGAACTGGGCACTTGACATTAACAACAAGAGAACCAAACAAATGAGCCGCGCATACAGAATGTCAAGCTTCAGTGGAAGCTGAAGGGCGAAGATGTATTATGAACAAACAATCTCATGCAAAAACGCACCAGGTTTGCATTTTGCTGCTGGAATAAAAAACGCTTTTATCTATTTTGTTATTTGTATTTATGGTATGTCTTACATTGCAAGTGTAACTGACTGTACGTTTGGCAGTATCTGAAGATCTAATGGAGTATGTAGTCAGAGAGGTAGTATTTATTTTTATTTTTACTCAGTTGTGAAGAGTGTTTTTATTCAGCAGACGATGTACTATTATTATGGAAAATACATGCTTGTGAACATGTTGGTGTATCTGACTGCAATTCCAGCTTAATTTTCAGTTTTAGCCTTAATTCTTAATAAGATCTACATATCTATAGGTGTAAGATGTAATAACATGCTACCTGATTTCTTTCAGGGTGTCCGCACTGTAAAAACGCCGTCCCTCACTTCACCACAGCAGCAGAGCTCTTTAAGGAGGACCGCAAGGTTAGTTTTCCCTTTTTCACAAATGTATTACCATACAGTTGGGTAATAAGCAGTAGTGCTCTAAAAAGGTTGGTGTAAAAATTATACATTTAAGATATTTTCTGTGGAATTGTAAGAAATGCAGTGCTTTAAAAACATATTTCCCTAAACTGGCCTGACTCACGACTTATGTGGGATGTAAGTCATCCTGGTAAGGCTCAGTACTTTAGACCGGACCAATCACAGCGCAGGAGACAGCCCCATAATGCTATAGTACCTAAGAGCTTTTCTTTTTAAGAATTTTTCCATCATATCAGTAGTTATCTGATCAGTTCCCTATAGTTTCCACTGACTCTGTTATGCTCCTTAAAGCCATTCACTACAGATCAATTCACCTTTTTGACTTTTCCATTTAATCATTACATGGATCTGTTGCTATTTTTAGAGCCTTGTTGTTCAAAGTTTTCAGAGTTTCATCGAATACACAGCATCAGAGGACTGTTGGGCTGTGTCGGAATGTCTGCCCTAAGCCCTGCAATGCTAAGCTAGCAGAATAACTAGCATAATAATAACTGTTTTATAAAATTTAATCGGTCTAAACTATATAAATATTAACATCTGGTTATGATTCCAGTTCAACAAAAGGATTCTGTAACAATTAGAAAAGTAGTCTAAAGTCACATGAGAGAGAGCTGACGTGTTGTCAGATCCTAGTGGCTCTATGATGGAGCTGAGGAATAGCTTCCTCTTTGTGAGGTTAAACATCGGCGAAGCTTTGCAGTGTGGGTCCGTTTTAAGGAAGTTAAGGGATTGAGAAACTACACAGAGGTTGCCGCTTTCCTTTTAAACGGGTAAGGTAAATGTTAACATTTGTGGACCTGGCAACCCACTGGCAAATGAAAGGAGAGTGAGCAGGTGAGTGCAAGTACGTGGGTGCCACCTACTGGCCAGGAGGAATTAAGCTGCGTTTCGACCCATGCACTAAGGGCATATGGTTTCCTTGTAGTCAATAGTTGACTTGCCTTCAAGAGCTTTAAGTAATCTTGCCCTGCAGATTTTGAAGGTTTTTACGCTTTTGCTGCTGCCTGTCTGCCTGGGTGCTACTAAATCTGAAATTTTGCAGCTAGATCCTGAGGGACACCCACACCAAGAAGCCGATTCAGGGGCTTTCTGAGAGACGGACGCTCAGTGCGAACCGTGATTGGTTCTTCCGAGCTGTCAGGATAAAACTATGAAGTATCGATATATAAAAATAAGTTAAACTCCACTAGTTTTAAAAATCCATGACAATTGAATGTATTTTATATTCAAGGAAAAGAGAGCAAGCTCTGATCATTATTACTCCAGTAAAACATTTTTTTTTTTACATGTTTAATTTTTTCTTGTGAGAGCATTACAATACAAAGGTAGTTACTTTCAGGGAACACACAATGTTACTACTGCCACTCACAATAAATTTTTGCATATATAAAATTATAAACAAAATATAAACAAAAGATACAAGTTACATCTGAAGTTACATCTAACAACTCTGAACTAACAGGGAAAGACAGGTCTACCTGAAAAAGCAGGAGTAAATCATATACCAGGAGTTTTTAAAATAAAGTATGAGAGATACATTAATTTATTAATCCTTAGATGCTACAGAACATAGATTGAATAACAGGCTTTGCAAGGTCATTTATTCCATACTTCTCTTTGTTCGAGACCAGCGTGTTTAACCCACTTGGCCAACCTCTTAGTGAATATATTTTTCTGAAGGCAGAGGGAGAAGGTGATCCTCTCCATAAGGTAAATGTCATTTACGATACATGTCCACTCTTGTATTGTGGGTGGGTCGGGGACCAGCCAACGTCTTGTGAGTGCTTTTTTACCAGCAGTTATCAGAATATCAAATAAATATTCATCAGCTTTCCCAAATTGTAAATTAGTATTTCCTCAGTAAAACGTTTTCTGACTAAACCGTAGAGAAACTGTTTACAAATACCTACATTATTTAAAAATGTTAAAACATGCAAGTAAAAAACAAATCTTGCAGTTTTTACGACAAACTTAAAAAAAAAAAAATAAATTGTATTCATTTTCAACCGCTATTAATGAGAGCAGGAAATCCTTGACAGCCTAACCAGCTTCAGAGAGCTTTCCCTGGGGACTCCCAGAACAAGAACAGAATATTTAGGAATGATCATAATCCTGATGAACTGACAGCCAGATGATGTTTTCAGGTGGACTTTTCCACTAAAAGGCAGGTAAAAATAACTTTTTTCCAACTCAGCAAAGCAAATAAAGCCAGGCTCTTTAAATTACAAGAGAAGAGCAACTCAACAGCGTCTAGCATCTGACTTTAAAATCCAAAAGCATCCCAAGTTGAGTCATTCGATTCCTTTTTGACACTGAAAATGCATTTTGTTTCAAGTATTAAAGTTATAGCTATCATCTGTTACTGTATATTTATGTATCTTCTGCAGCATTCTAGTCCTGCGGACGTTTTATCTTAGAAAAAAATGTATTGTTTTAATTTAAAACTTGTAGCTATAACTTTATTTACCATGTGGTTAATTAGAAAAAATTAAAGTGTATTTCCTGTATCTTTAGTTCCCACCATATATGGAAATATTCTACAACATTTCTATCTATTCCAGAAAACTAGACATTTTTCATTACAATTCTATCCAAAAACGTCATAGTTAGGCTCACATTTAGACAAAAGATACCACAGCGTGTCCAAAACTCTCTCTTTTACACTATATAATTCATTCCTAATATGTTCTTTATGTGACAGTCAGGAGAATTATCACTTTGTTCCACCCCACGCCGTTTCATAAAATCCTCTGCCCATTGGGGGGTTTGAAGGTTATTGGAGGTTCATGCAGCCGCGACAGGATATGCTCATCCTTCATCATCTCCATTCCGTCTCATTACTGTTCGTTCTGGGGCTTGTGTCTTTATACCTCCTCCCACTCTTTTTTTGCTGTTGATAAGCTTGGACTGCGGGGCTTATTTCCGAACCTTCCCAACTCTGTGACTCACCTGCTTTCTCTCTCACAGAGAGAAAATGTGGGGATCTGTCTCACAACTCTCATAGCAACAATCTATCATGTGAAAGTGAGAGGGGGAGGAAAAAAAGAGCCGTATTTTGGTTGTAAAGCTGCATGAAGAAGTTTGACGTTAATTGCTCAGTGAGCTCAGGCTATGTTATGATCTCATTTGTTGGCATTTTTCACAATCGATGGCAGATGGTGTGAAACGGTGACATATCCTCAGCTACTCAGTCATGGATTTTTCTGAGGCAATCCTTTGTAACACACAACTAAAACGTTAACCATTAACAGATGAAACTGAAACGTTTGGTGCAAAATGCTAAGTTTGGTTCATCAGTTTCAGTGGGATTAATTTGACCCTGACAAACTGCACTCTGCACACCTGTTAGCATGATTGGTGCAAATTTCTAAAATGCATTTAACCATTTATAGGGCAATTTACCATTTTTTTTTATCACTTTTATGCCCCCTACAAATGGAGTCCCTCCATCCCTCAGTGAGGTCTAGAAGCACAAGATCTATATCCAGCCATTCAGCAAAGATGCTGCTAAATGGCTGTACATCTGATTTTGGCATTTGACCAATTAGATGAGCCCTTGAATGATATATTACCTACTGTATATTAAGCTGAAAAAAGTTGACAAGTCAAGAAAAAAAGGTAAAAAGCTAATTGAAAAGTTAAAAAGTAAAATGTTAAAAAGTTAATAAGCCTAGTTAACAATTATATTTAGTTTTATGAACAAAAAAATTTAGGTGCCAGTATCAGCATTAATGCATCTAAGGTTATGCTGTACCAAAAAAATGTGTTTCTTTCACTCTCAGAGTGTTTTTCATGCATTTCTTATAGAAGCACTTTTGTTATTTTGTCGTAATATATTTGGGCAAGTTGGCGTTCCTTGTTATTACATTGACATTATTTTTTGCAATCAAAATATCCATATTTTTTTAATGTTCCAAAGGTAATAAGGTCTTGTCCTGGATTCCAATAACTCTATTGGATTTAAATTTTGATTTTCAAAGTCTTTGACCCTATAAAGGGTTAACTAAATTCATATTTAATCTAATATCAAAGATTTAGGAATCCAAACTTGAATTAATCCATGGAGAAAAAAATAATAAAATCCAATCTTTACTACAGATGATTTTGGCAAGCGCTTTAAGAAATAAATGTAACTTTAGCATATTTTATGCCGGTGAGTTTTTAGAAACATCTATTTTTTAATCCATGAATTTCTGATTTGACACGCAGATCATTTCTCTTAAGCAGTATTCAGATTTATGGGTAAAAAAAAAACAGCTGTATTTTGTTACTGTGGTAAATCAGCAGGATGGAAAAGGAAGGAAAAAAATCTTCAAAGCTCACAGTTGGAGAACTGCATCTTGGCATCACAAATCTTCATAACAACCATTAGTCACTGTCTACCCGCCAAAACACTAGCTTAAATGTGCAAACTCTCATGCACTAGTTCCTTTTTAAAACACAATGTTTTATTTTTTTATAGGAAAGCTAAGATGTAGTTGTCATGAAGCCTCTCAGGATGACTGTGATCCAACAGATATTTCTAAATCAAGACAGGAGTGGCTCACAATAAGCCTTCTTCCTTTACCATTAAAAACTATAGAGTTAAATCCTGAATAAAATGTTTTAGGTGAGAAGTATGAGGGGACCCAGTAGTCTGTGTGATCCTGAGAGCTTATTCAAATAGGAAAGGTCAAGGATCTCTCTGTTTACTCCAAATAGGCCTGCAGCTATCGCCTTTTTTAATAACTGATTAATCTGTTGTTTGTTTTCTCAATAAACCTGTTTCTGATTTATAAGTAGAAAGTGCTTTATAGAACATGTTTCCAGAATTTGAACAAAGTTATGCTGAAACTAGGCCTCTATAGGAGTTCTGGATACATAATGTTAACTAAAAAAGTCAGGTCACATTCAGAATACAAAGTTCTGAAAGTTTGAAATTATTACATTCTTTTCAATAA